CTCATCCTTCTTTCAGCCTTCAAAAGAGGACGGGCCAAGGAGGAATTGGGGAGCCTCCCAATGGATTGCAGCTCCCATGAGAAGGTCCCCAACATCACCCCCAGTGGGCTCCCCCTCCGGCTCCTGCAGATCGACCATCTGATCAGCACAATTAGCACCTTATTACATCCTGCCCTCTTCTCACTGTCTGCCCAGCACGATTTAACCCTTTATTAGATCAGCATAAATGCAGTTACATAGAATGCTATTTTGCTCCCTGTTTCATGGCGATGTCTTGTCTCCCCACCTAAATCAGGCAGGAATTTTGTCTGAGTTTTCTTCTGTGTCTCATGGCATTGGCATTGTGCTGGGCATGTAACAGGAATTCTGTAAATTCTGTTTGCTGCGATGATTGACCACCTGGAAGTATCATCCCCAAATACTGGGACTCTATTTTGAAGCTGCCATTTCTCTATTTTGGTCATTAGATACATCATTTGTCAAAACAGAAACTGTACAAGTGGAAAGAAGTAGATATCACTCTTGGGGTCACCCACCTCTTTTTGAAAGTTGAAATCAACCCTTGGGCTCCATCAATTTCCCACAAAACCCCTGGCCCTCCTCCCACCCCTGGGCCGCAGGGTGGCTTCTGTTCTGTTTTTGGCCTGGCCTTGCCCCATCAGGCCCTCCCGGCCTCCCCCTCTGCTGGGTGCCTTTCCTGTACTCAGACCCAGTGGCTGACAGCTGGTTTGGGGGACTGGAGGAGAAATGTGGGCATGCTGAGTGTGACAAGGGGGCAGGCTTTGTCTGGGGGCCATGGTGCATCTCCACTGACCTTGGAACTGAGCGACTGGGGACAACCGAGGGGAGGCAGTTTCCTTCCCTCTCCGGGCTGCGGCTTTTTAATGTCTTCTTTGTTGGTCTGGGCCCCTGGAGACTGAACTGAAGGGAGAGAGTTTAGGCTGCTCCCTCCCTCCCGGACAAAATGGTGCATGCTTTTCCTGTTTAAACAGGGCACAGTTGTGAAGTAACCTGACTTCGCACACACTAAGGCCCGGCAACGGCTGCAATAAATCAATAGGAAAATAGAAGCTGCCAGTTAGACTAAACAAGTACATTTGCAAAGACGGCTAGCCCTCATTAATCACTCTGACAGTCCTAAAAACACATTTCCCCTTTAATGACTGTATTTGGATAATCAGTGCTTTTTCCTCCTCAGTCAGAGTTTGAGTAACAGACAGCTGGTGTTATTACAGCCATTGAGGAGGGAGAGCTGGGATTAGGGTCGAAGGAGAGCCATCCACTGGAGGTCTCCTCCAACAGGGTTGGCTGCAAAGCCGTTGTTATGCAATAATGAGGGGAAGCTTTGTCCTGCCAGTTGATGGCTCCCGGGCAGCCATGTGCAAGTTCCCCCCTAAACCTTGACACCCACCTGCATTCGGTGCACACAAAAGCCTCGTGCTGGGTTTTTTCAGCTTTGGCACGTCTAACCTGGGTGGGGGGGGGCAGGAGTTTCTCTGGCAGAGAGGTAAGAAGATGGGTCGATGAGATTTGGCTTTGTTTCCTTGAGGTGACTTTGGCTTTCAGGAGGAAGTTTGAATCCCAGCACATTCCTCTTTATAAATGATGTAACACATTAATGCACAGCACATTATGAAAATGGTAATTCAAACCCATAGTGCTTCAAATTAAACCATACATTATCGGATGCACTCAACCATCTATTTTGCAAAAAGACAGGATGAATGAGATCAAATCAAACAGAAAACTGGAGTGCAGCTTCCCCTACAGAATGATTAATAATGTGCAGAGCCACAGGATTATTGTAAGACGGGTTCCACAGTAACCCAGACATCCCTCAGGAAGGAGTTAGTTCATATACAGAGAGCATGCCAGGGAGGGCGATAGGTACGGCTGCCTAAAGATGGTGAAGGGCCTCCCACCTCTCACCTGGGCTACGCATTTCTCAGGAGGTGGGTTTGGGGCGGGGGGATGACTAGGAAGTTAAAAACTTAACACCACGCAATTCTGTTTGTGCCAAACCTACATTTGGGGTTGAGTCTTTCCCCTCCCTCTCCTCCCTTCCTCCCGCTGCTGCCCACGAGGCCACAAAAATAACCAGGCAAGAGGTGTGAAAATATGACCTGCAGCCAGGAACGTCCAGTGTCTCAAGTTCCAGCTCTGTGGCTTCCACCCTTCCTGGTGCCTTGGGAACACAGGCCCCATTTCTGGCGCCTGGGAGAGATTAGGAGGAAGAGGGGGAGGAGGGTTAGGAAGAGAAGGAGGTGGAGAAAGAGAAGGTGGAGGTGACTCTCAAAGAAAAGTGTTGCTAGATGAATTAATCACACAAATAAGCAGTGGGTGGGGGAGTATTACGGCTATTAGAACAGCAACCTGAATGAGAATTTAGCTACTCAAAGTGACAAACTCCCTACCAGCTAGTTAAAACAGCCATGTTTCTTAGGACTGGCAACCATTTATGGTGGGGAGAGCTGATATTTCAGAGTGAGAACTGGGACATTGCAGACTACAGTGCCTGCCCTTTGGTGTCACAATGATAGTTGGGGGCAGCCGTTTCCAACCAGGCCAATGGGGCATCCCTCTCAGGCTGCAAAGGCAGCTAATACACTTTCTGGAGGAAACACAGTCCTCTGAGGAGTTTCTAACCTGCGTTCTCATACCTCACATGTAAGCCAAGCAGCTATAGAAGTTTCTTTTGCCATGTGGTGAGTTTGCTGTTGGAAATCTTCAGTCTCTTCCTTTCTCTGGTCCCAACAAGAAGACCATAAAATTTAAGAAAGAGAAAAGTTTGTCCCCCTGCAGAGGGAGCAATTTCCAGCAGTTTTACCAGGCGAAAAAAAAAAAATATATATATATTTCTGAAGGAAAGGGGGGGAACTTGAGAAGAAGGGAAGATGGGAAAGAACCAACAGCAAACAAAACAGAGAAAAAGCAAAAATAAAGCAAGTCCTTACATTGCAGATCTTTTAAAGATTCGGGCCAATTTAAACTCCGAGAAGTCGGATCAGGATGATGCCCTAGGAAGACCCAGGGCGACTTCTCCAGCCCGTTCAGCCTCTCCCTGACTCGGTCCAACGACTGTGCCCAACGACGCCAGCAGCCCAGGTCCGTTCCTTGGGACACACGTAGGGTCGTGTGGTGGCCAGCACTGACATTTTCTGTAGAAGCCTGAGGTTCTCCCGACTAATGGAGGAATTTTGCCCAGAACCAAAGATATAGGGCCCCAAACCCCAAACCCCACAAAATCCTGTTAGAGGATTTAACGCTGAGGTTCAACCCCGAAGGGATGGTGCGGGGACGGGGGGCCCCGCCCTGCGTGCGCTTCTCCAGCGGAGTTTGGCGTCTGCTGAAACGGCGCGGCATGAGAGCATCTCTCCGACCCCCTCCCGCACTCGACCTCGGATGTACCGACGTTTCGAAAGCGCGCAGTTTGCGGAGCACGAACTACCTAATAAATCGCATTCCTCACAGCAAAAGCAAAACAACACAACAGCAACCACAACAGATCCCAAAGCCGCGCGGGGCCGACGCGGAGCAGCGCGACCAGGAGGGGGCGAGGAAGGCCCTTTGGAAGTGCGCCCAACAGGTGGCCCCGCGCGTCCTCGGTGCAGGTGGCCGAGAGCCCGCGCGCCCTGGCCGGATGCTCCCCGAGTGGGCGTCGGGCAGCGGGCACCTGGGCGGGGCCGGGCTCGGCGGGCGCCCCCCGCACTCGCCACCCGGGGAGGAGTGAGTTAGCACGACAGAGGACGGCTCAGGCCCCGGGGCTCCCCTGGAGAAGGGCGGTCTCCGCAGCCATCGGTCCTCTCCTCCGGCCTCGGGGACTCCCCGTGCAGTGGGGAGGTGCCCTGGTTCTCGTTCGCTATGCCAATAAACGGCACCCTAACCCTTGCCTGCTCGAGGATGCAGAAGCCAGTGTCAGTGGTGGGAGCTCAAGAAAACAGGGACCGAGAGTGGCCTCGAAGTCCCGAGTGATCGTCGCGCCTTCTCAGCAACCCCCACACCGCGTTCAGAGAAGTCTCTAAGGGCGCAGATGACTGCGGTCGACAACCCAGCTGTGTCCTTGGGGAGCGCTCTAGCCTTGCGAAGCACCCCTCTCAGCAGGCGCACCTGCCCTTTGGTTTCATGGTGTCTGCAAGTCACTGTTAGGAAACAGGAAATCCTTCGCATTTAGAGTGGAAAGCGCGGGAGGAGCCGTCGGGGCTGGCGCCCGTCGCTCGTCTTTCTGCCACCAGGTGGCGCCAGAGGCACGTTGTCTTGGCACTCCCGCAGGTCTCTGAGCCCTGCGTCCTGGATCCCTTCTCAGCCCCTTGCACCTCAAACCTAGGCCCAGAGGAAAATCCATCTATACACTCCCTCCACCCTGTCCCCAGGAAATGTCAAGGCTTTTGAAGTAAAGCTGGGAGCTAAATAGCCAAGTGGAAAAAAAAAATAAAGGCGGTTTTATGTTATTTGTAATGCGTTGGCAGAAGTTTTTTCTCCCCCCTTTCTTAAGGAAAGGCATTAAAATCGTCCTTGAACGGAAATCTCAGACGGAAATCATAAGGTATTTTAAACAAGAATAAAAAAGGGGCATCTGCTCCGTGGTCTGGAAGTGGGACAGTGGGTGAGGCAAGAGAGAAACACACCACGGTGTGAATATAGCCAAGTATTCCATTTATTAACAAAATAAGTCTTACCAAGGGAAAACTCTATTCATCCCAACAGGCCCAGCAGCCCCGCGTTGCTGCGTGAGCCCAGGAGGGAGGGACGATGTGGGGAGAAGACCCAGGGGCCAGAGTCTTCAATCCCAGTCACTGAGGGAGCCCATGGAAGCCCCCCGCCAACTTTGGGGACTGTCTTGGTTCAGGCCTGGGAGGGGGCAAAGGGGCTGCTGCGATCCATATGCTCCCTGACTCCCCAACCTTCCCCCAACGGGGCTAACAAGGTTGTACTGCCCTGCTGATATCACCACTGGTCTGCTTTGGAGGGATCTAGCAAGAGTCACCAACCCGCCCCTGCCACCAGGAGAGGGCCCACTGCCCCAATAACAGAGAGATAAACAATGACTATAAAAGCACTTCGCAAAATATAAAGAGCAAAGTTTCACACCAGCAGGCCTTCTAAGGACTTTTAATTGAATAAGATGAGCCCTACAGGCCCCCCTCTGTGGGCAGTGTGACCACCAGGTGTTTGGGGCGGGGAAGAGTCTGGAAGGTAGAAAGTTTCTGTGGGAGGCCATCTGGGCCCCTCTCTCAGGGGGAGCCCGCTGGTGGGGTCAGGGCTCAGAGCAAGGTAAGGGAGCAAGGCTCTAATTTTGGGGGCCAGGGCACAGACCAAGGACCCGAGGAGAGGGTCGCAGGGGAGGACTCACAGAACAGAGTTCAGGGTCACCAGAGCACATGACCCCCTGCCATCGAGGCCACTCCCTGCACCCCCAAATGCATTACAAAAAAACATTCTCCTCTGTTACTCGTACAAAGGAAAAAACAGAACCTCAAATGGAAGGAACAAGAAGGAATGAAGGAGAAAGAGGGGAAAAGAGAAGGGGAAATGTAGTTTTAACGGTTGAGAGGCATGCAAGAAACTCCCCAGGAAGGGAAAACAAAACAAATAGAAGAACCCCAACTCTCCCTCCTCCCCGATCTTCTTCACCAAAAAAAAAAAAAAAAAAGAAAAAAATTTAAAACTTACATCTAAGAAAAAGATAAAATTAAAAGAAAGGAAGAGGGGCAGGGAACATGTAGTTATTTGTGTGATTAATATTATTATTGGGGGGAACACAGACTTTTTGCATACCATTGACTCGTGTGCGCCGATAATGCACTTATATTCCCAGCTTGTAAGCTAACATTATAGTAAATAAATACACAGTCCGGCGAGGAGGGTCTGGGCGGGGACGCCGGCAGGGACAAGCAGTAGTGGAGGCTGCAGCGGCGAGGCGGTGGGGGAAGGGAGGCGGAGCGGGGAGGAGAGGAGGGTTGGGAAGGAGGCAGAACTGTAGTTACTGGTATCCGAGCGCGGAGGCTGAGGCTAGTCTCTGTCCATACAGCGCATATGGTGAGTAGTAGGGTCCAGCTGTGGGGAGGGATGGCACGGCCAGGCCCCCAGCCGTGGATAAGTGGCTCTTGCCATAGGGGTGGTACCGGCTTAGCCCCAAAGTGTGTGGACTCCGCAATGACAGCGACCCGGGGCTGCCCGGCGCGGTGGGCGGGGGTAGGTGCAGATGGCAGGAGGCGGCGGCCGCAGCGGCCGCGGCGGCGCTGCCCAGGCCCGAGGCTCCGGGGTAGGCGGCCAGAAGTTTCTCCGCGCCCGGGAGGGCCGTGTGAGTCCGTAGGTGGCTGAGCAGCTCTTCCGAGGTGGCGAAGCGCTTGTCGCACGGCCCGCTGGCCGCCACCCAGTTGCAGCTGTGCGGCAGCGGTTCGTTCTGCAGCATGAAGCCGTAGGTGTAGAGCGGGTGGCCCGGGAGCGCGGCCTGGGCGGCGCTGGACGAGAGCGCGGCGGGCTGCAGCGGGTGCCCGGGGTACACCAGCGGGTAGCCCCCCGCCTTCAGGCTGGGCCCGGCCGGGTCGTGCGCGCTGCAGGTGGAGCAGCTGGAGCCGCCGAGGTGCGAGGCGCTGTGGTAACCTCCCAGGCAGTAGGGGTCGCGGCATAATCCCTGCAGGAAGGAGGGCGGGGAGGCCCCGGTGAGCGGGCTGGAGCTGGGGGGCTTGCCCGGAGGCAGGCCCAGGCCCCCCGAGAGCTGGCCTCCCACGAGGCCAGACTTGCTAGGATCCAGGCCAGGCACGAACTGGGACGGGTAGCCGGCGTAGGCGCCCACGATGGAGCCATGGTAGCCGATGCTGGAGGGAGGCAGCGGGAACACCGAGTGGCCTGGTTTGTAGGGTGACACCGGCGCCACATGGCCAGCCCCCACCAGCGCCGAAGGCGGCTCCGACTTGCGCCCGGAGGCCCCGGCCTCGGCGGCGCCGCCGCCGTGTGCGCCGGGCTCCCCACCGCTGCCGCGGCTCACGGCCGCGGGCTCCGGGCTGGGCTTCGGTTCCTGGTCTTTCTTGTCCAGCTCCCCGCCGGCACCCCCGCCACCGTTCTTGCAGTCAGAGTGGTGCGGAGAGCCACCCCGGGAGCCACCGGGCGAGGACGAGGACGACGACGCGGAGACCGGTGCTCCGTGCGGGGGAAAGGGCGTGCAGGAGGCGCTGGGGACCCTGAAGCCCGCCTTGTCTCCCGGGGACAAGGAGGACGAGGAGGAGGTGGAGGACACCGAGGAGGAGCCGCTGTCTTTGCGGGAGTCGCCGCCTCCGGCGCCCTTGGAGTAGGGCTTGAAGCTGGACTTGTCCTCGGCCGGGGAGTCCCCCAGCTGCTTGAGCGCCGCGGACGCGGAGGCGGCGCCCGAGGCCGCGCGGCCGGGGTCCTTCTCCGCTCCCAGCCCGTTGGCCGCCGCCGCTACCGAGTTGAGCTTGGACGAGGGCGGCGGGTCCGGCTTGCCGATCTGCGAGCAAGTCTGGGCCAGCAGCGCCAGTGGACTCTTCTTGGCGTCCAGCTGTGGGAGACAGTGGCAAGAGGAGGGAGATGGGGGTGAGACTACGAGACCGACGGCGCAAGCGGGGGTGCCTGGGGAGCTGGGGCGGGGGGCGCGGGGACCACGGTAGGCGGCGGGACGGGGCGGGAAGGCCTTGGCGAGAGGGTCTGAGAGCGAGGGCCGGCCGTGCGGGGCGGCTGGGCGGAACAGCGCTCACACTGCCCGTCGGTGGGATTCCCCGCTTCCCGGGGGCCCAGAGTGCGCCACAGGCCCCGGGGAATGGGGCCTTGGAAGCAGTCCACCCAAGGCACTGCGGGAACATGGTGACTTCTCTGGAGTTGAAGCTGGGGGAGAGGCTGTGACTCCCCCTTCCCTCTAATCACCCCCTTCTCTATGTCCAGGGAAAAACTTATTCCTTCAGTTTGGGGAACTTCGCTTGGGACGGGTTTCTGGCGGTGGCGCCGCGGGTTGGAGTGAGGAGAAGCGCATTCTAAAGCGCTAAAGCGAGGGCTGCCGTTGGCGCTCTCTTGGTAGCCCCTCCCTCCCGGGGAGGGCACCCAGGGAAGTGGGAGGAAGAAAGACCTGGGATCGGGAGTGCCTGGGCGTAGTGAGCTCTAACCGGATGGGACAGAGGCGGAGTGGGACGGGGGCGATCGAGCTTCAAAGAGACCAAACCAGGATGGGGGTGGGGGGCGGGAAACGCCCGGGCGATATCATCTCTGGCCTGGAAACTGGGTGCCCAGAGGAAAAGTAAAGGACCCATTGGAGACTCCAAGAGCAAACCCAATCGGAGAGAAAACACGTAGCTCCGCAGGGCGAGCGTGGAAGGGGAACCTTCCACGGAGAAGCCTGGGGAGAACCGGGTGGGCTCTGATCCCTCTGTTCTCCGTCTCTCCTCACTCCGTCCGCCAGCGTGGCCCGACACGAGCGTCGCACCCAGCCCCGGGGCGCAGGGAGCAGGGCCGTGGACCGGGCCGTGGTGGGCGCAATGGGGCCGGCGCTGGGCGGGCAGCGACCAGGAGACTGACCTCAATGGGGCTGACGGGAGTGGAGGACAGCGGCTGCAGGTACTCCGGGTGCAGGAGGTGGCCGGTGTGAGCGCTCAGCATCTTCAGGACCCTGATAGGGAGCCGGTTCGCCTGGCGCAGAGGGTCCGCCGGGGGCAAGAGGGACACCGCCGCCGGCACCGCCGGCCTCTTCCCGCCGCCGCCGCTGCCGCTGCCGCTGCTTTCGGGTGTCCTTGGGTTAGATCCAGCGGGCGAATCGCTCATTTGGAGGAGGCAGCGCCACTGGGGGGGCGGGGAGGGAGGGGGAGCACCAGGGAGGCGAGCTCCCGGGGCGGGTGGGCTCGCTCCGCAGCGTCGGGCGCGGTGCAGCAGTCGCTGCGCCTCCACCCCTCCTCCACCGACGCCGCCGCAGCCCCGCCGCCGCCGCTAGCCCCGGCGAGCAACACAAAAACCTTCGCCTTCCGCGAGCCGCACGTCAAATAGCCGCGATCGGCAGCCACACTTCAAAGGGATCGCCGCGCCCGCCCAATCGCAGCTCTCGCCGGGACCCCGGGGCGGGGAGAGCGGCGGGCGGAGGCCGGCGCCGCCGGTGGGAGGGGAGAGCCTTAAAGGGGCCTCGCCTGCGCGCCGCCGCCGCCCCGGCCTTTACCACCCGCGGTACTCCTTCCCTCCCCCACTGGGCCGCCCTTGCCCTGGGGTCCCACGGAGGACGAGACTTCCCCGGGACCCTGGGCTCTGCGCCCTACCCTCGGCTGGTTTTCCTTTCGCTCTCTCCTCTCCCTTCACACCGCCGGGTGTTGTGCTGGCGAGGGCAGTGACCCGCCGGCCGAGGGTGTCTGGGGTGGGGTGGATTGGGGTCGGGTGGGGGGTAGGAGCGCGCGGCGCCGGCTCCGGTACTGCGGAGTCCAAGCCGCTCCCAGAGGCCGCCTGGGGGCGGGCCGCGCCTCCAGCGCCCCAGCCCGGCTCGGGCTCTGCTCCGGTTCAGCTCTCTTCCCCTAATTGGCTTCTCCCGGGAGTGCTTGCTTGGAAGCGTCCGAGCGTCGGAGGCGTCCACGGTTCTCGGGACGTGGCGTAAGCCGCTCCAACTACTTTGAGCCAGTCCTGTCCGAAGCCTGCAAGTTTGAGGACTCCCTTCCAGGGTGAGATGGTCGCGATGAAGCGCGGTACCCCTGGCTATACGCACCCCCCGACGCGCCTGGGGCGCGCTGGCCGCGCGCTGATTTATAGGTTCGGTGTTTGGGTGTGTTTCAGGTTTGCTATCGTATCCAGTTTAGAGGCGTAAAATTCCTGCCCTGCACCGCGCCTAGTTGCTATTTTGGGGGAAGCCGGGATCACTGGAGAGGCCGGTATCCCAGAGGAGGGGAGATCTCTCTTTAGGTGCTGCAGGTCGTTACAAACTCCAGAGATGCGCGGCCCCTCCCCCCATCCTTCTTGCGAGTGTTGGGGGGAGGGGTAATGCACTAGCTTTTCCCAGGGAAATTTCGGAATAAAAACTTTTTATTAAAAATAACAATACCCTCTTCCCCCCTCCCCGCCGCGCGCCTTTCGGATAAAGTGTGCGTTGCCAGATTCGCACTTGGCAGAGATTTCACCTAGTCATAGTCCTGACATTAAAGTTCCCGGTCCGCGATCGTCAGAAGGTTAAGCTGGTCCTTTGTGCGCCGGCCTCCGGCGAGACCAAGTCTCCGTGCTCTCGGCGGCCAGTGGAGGCGCGCTGGTGACACTGTCTCGCTTCGAGTACCACTTTCCCAGCCCCAATCCATCACTCCGATTGTCAGGCCTGTCGCTCGGGGCACATTGCTCCAGGACTACCCGTCCCCGACTCTGCCGCGCCTTGAGACAACATGAGAACCCAAGATGGGGATAGGTGATTTCAAAGGGGCTCTTCAAACAGAAAGAAATAACTATCACGGAAATAACAAATAGCAATCACGAACCTTTATCATGCCCAGTGAAGACAGCAGACACCACTCCCAGGCCATGACAATCATACACTAAACTAAATCTACTCCCTGGATCCGTGCTGATTTTTGGGGCAGTATGAGTGGACCTCTTAGCAATACACAGGTTAAAAAAAATGCCAAGGGCTGCCCTGACTGGGAGATGTCTTTCATACTGCAGCAAGAGGGATACAAGCAGGGGGGGATCCCATTTATTTTATTGTGGTGGTCTCTATTCCCTGCCCCCCCAGCTCTTCTCATGCCAGCCTCTGTGAAGTCTGACATTGCTGTCACTGCCAATACTACATTACAGGGCTTCTTCAACCTACAGGGCCGTTCGGCCTTTGGGAGACTGCTATGCGGACAGCGAACAGGAGAGTGCCTTCCAGAGTGGAAAGGGTGGGCCTTTGGGGCACCTTGGAGGAGGAAGAGCTGGGAAGAGGGGAGACCTAGGGGACAGTAAAAGATGAAAGACTCCTTCTTGATTATTGTAACTAGCCCAGCTGTGAAAGCCTGCCAAGAAAGCCTTCTAGGGCCCAAGCAGATGTGTGTGTTAGGAATGATTAATTGGAAATCAGTTGGGAGGAAAGGGGAGGGGGAGAGAGAGAAAGGGCATTTAGGAATTTGGAAGGAAAAGAGGAGCAGGAGGCAGCAGAAAGGAGAGAGGAGAACAGAGGATGATGGAATGTTTACTCTCTATTTGGAGAGGAAGAGAGAAGAAGAAGGTAGTGAACGAATGAAAGAAAGGGAGAAAGGAGGAGGCTGGGACAGGATGGCTTGTGGTGGCGGGTGGGGAATTTGCCTAGGTAATAATATATTGTCCTTTAAAAAACCCCACTCCCTTAGCTCACAGCAGTAATCACTGATAGGAACAGTGGGCGCCAGACAGCGTGGAGGTGGAGACCAGACCTGGCGTCCCCCTACTCCCACCACATTGGAAAATGCTAACAAGGGAGTAGGGACACCCTTCCCTTTGGGGTGCTGGTAAGGGCAGCAGGGCTCCTTTGCCTGGCTCCATCCATTTGCCTTAGGAGAGAACATGGAACACCATAATTAGCCAGGCCGGAAGCCTAATTAAAAGACAGCTAGAGGAATATTACAATCAGGATCTGACATTCACTTAGCTGAACCTCTAACCTATACAGAGTCCTAAAAGGGGCCCTAGTAGTCTAAAGCAAGGACAGCTTTCAAAGGAATGGCTTGTCACCAGAAGAGAATAAGGCTCAGTATTCAGTTGGGCCAGGTTTATTGAGGGCCAGCTGTAGGCAGAGCATGTGCTAGGGGTGTGGTTAAAAAGTCCGTGCAAGACATTGTCGCAGAGGGTATATGGCACACGACCTCCCCTTGCAGAAAAGTGGCAGATGTATGATTAAGGGGTCTCCATCTATCCAGGCCCTTCTCAGATTGCCCTGGGAGTGAGCAGCACCATTAAAATAGGACAGGGGTGAGCGCTGCTGGAGACTGCCCCGTGCCATTGTGGTGAAGAGTAACAATTCTGTGCTGCTGGAGACTGCCCCGTGCCATTGTGGTGAAGAATAACAATTCTGTGCGTGGGGCACTTGATAAACATCAGGTACTGTTGTCATGCCCATTGACAACTGAAGAGAGGGAGGCGTGGAGAACTTAGTCCCTTGCCCAAAGTCACATGCCGGGTGAGTGGCAGAACGGTCACTTGGGGTCTGGGCTCTGGGAGGCAGGCCTCTGAACCATGATGCTGGGGTGGTCCCCGGCAAGCTAACCTCCCCAAGCTGTTGTTTCTCATGTGCAAAACGCAAGAGTGGCCACCTCAGAGTTGGGAGGCCAGAAGCAGACAACGCATGTCACACGTTTAGTGCTTGGCACTACGAAAGGCACAGGTAAATGAGGGCTGTGGTCCATGCATCATCTGTGGGGCAGTTGCTCTGGAGAGCAGCCATGGTGCCAACCGATCCGGAGGGCACAGACCAGAAGACCCAAGCTGTCCAAGAATTCTCCGGAAATGAGGGTCACCCCCTCCCCCAGCCTCCAGTCAAATCTGTCTTTTAAAAAAATGCCCCCACAAGCCATCAAGAAAATCCTTTAGGAAATTCTGAATATTTATAGATTTTTTTCCACGACTTCAATTTACAGAAAATTCGCCACCCAGGAAAAAATGCCTGAGTCAGGTGGAGAGCTAGAGGTGGGAGGTTTGTTGTGTGGGGTTACCGCGGAGCTTTCCATCCTCGCTGAGGCAGAATTGCCTGAATGATCTGCTCTCTCTGCATAACACTCAAACCCTAATGGCAACAACGTGAAGTAATATCTCACTGGGTAACTATTTACATTTTTTTTTAAAATAAGCTGTAAGAACTCTGAAAAGTCTGCCTCATAGAGAACTTGGTTTTCCTCCCTGGCGCTTAATATCTTTCAGCGGCTGGCAATTACTGTCTTGGCCGGGAGCCCTGATTTCGCGCACTGCGCTCAGGGCACTCGGAGGCGCTTCCTCCGTCTGCCCCATCCCCGGGCTGCAGACCCAGCTTGGGCATGAGAGGGCCAGACGGGCAGAGGAACAGTGGGAGCAAACCAGAACAGCCAGCCTTGCAGGGAGCCCCCTTGAGTAGCTCCCTCTTCCATGTTCTCATAGTTCTATTATGTTCTATTATTACACTTATCACAGGGCATCTGTCATTGTTTGTTTACTTGTCCACTCTCTCACTGGACTGCGAATGCTGCTCTATTGTGCCCATCCTCTTTGTATTCTTATGGCCTAGCAGGGTGTTTATCATCCTCACAGTAGCCAACACTGAGAGCCAGGCAGTGTTGTCAGCACTTTGCATGCATTACCTCATTTAATTCTCACAGAAGCCCTATGAGGTAGGTCCTGTCATTACCTTATTACCCCATTTCGTAGAGGAGGAAATGGAGGCACAGAGAGGTTAAGTAACTTGCCCAAAGTCCCAGCTGCTAAGAGGTGGGGCTGGGGTGTGAATCCAGGCAGTCTGAATGCCATACGTGCCCAATAGATGTTTGTTGATGAATGAATAAGAATTTTACACAGAGAAGGCTATTGATTGATTTCACACCTCATCAGATTCCCAAAAAGATGCAAGGCAGATGACTTTGTATATTTCAAAATGTTACCTGTATAAGCTGTTCAAGTATCTTTTCCCAAGTACATGTTTGTGTTCATCATCTCGCAACAATTTTCTGAGTTATTTTGGGCAGGTGTTTTTATCCCTTTTGATGGATGAAGAACCGGGCTCTGAGAGCTTCTGGGGGAGTCTGAAGTCACACAGCAATGCTGGCAGAGCGCCTGGAAGAGGCCTTCCTGACTCCCTCCTGGTTCTATATCACTGCTGATTGCCTCGTGGATGAGGAGGTACCTCCTTTTGATAAAAGATGGAGGAATTAACTACTTTTCCTCCCTCTAGAATTTCCTTTGGAGATGTGGTGGGAAGGAGGGGACAAAAGGAGATGTAGACCGAAGCTTATCTTCCAGCCTGTGTGTTTGATCCGGGTCCTTGAGCAGGGTGCTTTGAAGAGTGGTTTCGTTTATCTGCTATCAGCCCTCAGGGAGATAG